GCTCATTCCACAACTGACCTTGTCATCAGAGTGTCTTGCAGGTACCCCCTATCTCATTCAACTTCTGTCTGAACCAACTGTGACGGTCCATTCTGATCGGTAAGATCAGTTTCAAATAGGGCTGGACATCGGTCGGTTATGGGTGGATTCAAGCTTAATTTAATAACTCAAATTAACTCCCGGTTGAAAAAATATTTTGGATCCGATTTCACCTATTATCAAGTTCGTTTTATCGGTTGATGGTTTGTCGGTTTAAACGGTTCATTCGGTTGGGTTCAATTGGTTTGATTAATTATTTGGCCAGTTCTAGAATTATTTAAAGGATTAATAAAATTTTGTCCTTTAAATATTTTAAATTTCGTTTCTTAGTCCCTCTAATTTTTTTCTTCAAGAATGGTCACTCTAAAAAATTAATTTTAACTTTTGGTCCCTCTTTATAAAATCGTAGTTAAAATGGTCTCTAATTCTGTCGTTAAATAAAAATCTTTGCTAAAACCGTCGTTAAGTTGTAAAAATCGTCACTAAATTACATGAGAGGTCAAAAATTTAAATTTAATTTTTAAAGAGAATCACTTTAAAAGAAAATTTTAAAAAAACTAAAAATAAAATTTAAGATATTTAAAGAAAAAACAAACTTATTTAACACTTATTTAAATAACAAATTATTATCAATCTCATCAAACATTTACGCATGATACACACTCATCCTGGTATCTAATTTCTTAAAAATACAAAACAGAAAGAGCCAAGTACTAATCATTAAGTACTGCCCATCAAAATCAACAATTACTACTCATCATAATGTGATGTCTGTATAATGTGATGTCTGTTATCGAAAGTCCAAAATATATGTGTTGCAACCTTATGAATGTTCAACATAATCTGAAAATTATGTTGGATTCGGACACCGACGGTTACAAAATTTTCAACCAAGACTGACTGTAAAAATTTGACAGCATCCGCTTCAACCACCATGTCATAATCGTGAAAACCGTTTTAATTTAACCGATGACTTGTAGAAATATCGGACAGGTCGGTTTTCGATCGGTGATGAAAACTTGTCCACCCCTGATTTCAATATTTTATCTCAATCATCGTAAAATAGACTAAAATAAAGATATAATATTTTAGTTTGGATTCGTTTAGAAAGAAAAAAATTTGAATGGATAAAATTTATATTTATTTAGCTTGATTACGATTTTTAGAATTTTTTTTAAAAATAGAATTAAATTAAATTAATTGATTTGATTCGATTTGATTAATCGATTTAATTTTGTTTTCTAACAATTCATTTATCTTGAAATAACAATTTTATTTCATACAATTATTTTTAAAATTATTATTTCTCAAACAAATTATTTTATTTTATCTATTTTAAATAAAATTAAATTAAATTAATTCATACAATATATATATATATATATATATAATATATATATATATATATATATATATATATATATATATATATATATATTATATATATATATATATATATATATATATATATATATATATATATATATATATATATATATAATATTATATATATATATATATATATTATATATATATATATATATATTATATATATATATATATATATATATATATATATTAATATATATATATATATATATATATATATATATATATATATATATATATATATATATATATATATATATATATATATATATATATATATATATATATAATATATATATATATATATATATATATATTAAAAAATTAAGTTCACAGTTAAGTTACAAATACAAGCAAAATAAAATTCTATTTCATTTATAACTTGAAACACAAATATGAAAAGATTATGATATTAACATAGATGAAAAGAATAAGATGAAAAGAATAAGATACTAAAAGTGATGGATTGAGAAGAGAATAGATAGAAAACTCTCGACGTACTCTAAATGTTAACAATGAAACTTAGGGTTTTTCGAGGCCAATAAATTTTATCTTATACTTTATTTTGATTTGTAAAGAAATTAGTGGAGTGAAGCAAACACACTTGTGTTTGTGTTGGATAACTATTCATGGATCACAAACATGTGATAATTATTCACATTGATTTTGTGATTCTAAAAAATAAAAATCGTGATTTAAATTGAACTAATTCAATTTTTGAATTAAACTTTATTATATCAACTTTTTTTACATTTGATTTTTAGTTTAGTTGATTTTTTTTTTAATTTTTTGACATTTTTTTTGAAATAAAAATATTTTATTAATATAAAAATAGTTCATACAAGTAGATCGCATGGATCCAGATAATCAATCAAAACAAAATTTTATAAACACCATTATTCAATGGTCATATTTACTCTATCTATATGGGTATTGAACATCCTGTTGAGAGATCCTCTAACAACTATAACATTTCTGATATCATCCATCAAATCAGTGTTAACATCAGCCTCCTTTAAACATAGCCTCCTTAAAACATATGGCATTTCTAATCTTCCAAACTTCATAGACAATTTCAACTATAGTAATTCTAAGGAGTTTCCTTCTCCAACCTTTACTTTTTGCTTGCCGCATAATCCAAAGGCTTTCTAAACTCCACTTTCTCTAGGTCCTATGATATTCAAATCAATGCAAAATAGCTCTCCAAACCTTCTCAATTTCCCTGCACGCAAACAGGAGGTGATCCAAGTTCTCAACATCCTGATAGAATGCACATTTCCTATTTTTATTAACACCAATCTTTGCAAGCCTATCTGCCTAGCACGACAAGTCAAAGACAGAGCTTTAGGATAAACTTGGATACCATACAGAACGTTATTCCAACTCACATGTGATTTTTCCCTTCTCAAACACTTGTACAAGATAGAAGTTTTGTAATCCCCTGCTTGCTCTACCTCTGTCCAATATCTAGTTTGTGCCACCCTATCTCTGTAATTGATGATATTTTTCAACAATCATGAAGTTGTTGTGTTTGGTTGCCACTCCATAACAGCCTACCCCTTGAGATAATATATGCTAATCCACTTAACTCATAGCTTAATAGCTTTGGATTGAAGATTCCAAAGAAGCTTCCTAATAGTTGTTTGATTTCATTTCACCAAACATGTTATGTTCAACCCACCTGCTTTCTTGGGATTGCATACATTATCCCAAGCTATAGGTGCTCTCCTTGTAATCTCATCAACATTATTCCAAAGAAAGTTTGGTAAAAAGACTTGCATCCAATATACAATCATTGCAAATAACACAATACAAATAAGTTGTTTCCTCCCTGTATAGCTCAGAATTTTTGCAGTCCAATGCCTAATTTTTCCAACAATCTTATCCACCAATGGTCTGCATTATTGAATATTTAATTTCCTACTTGATAAAGGGACTCCCAGATATTTGAAAGGCAGAGTTCCAACATTGTAGTCTGTGATGTCCAATAAATTTTGTTGGATATTATCAAGCACACCCCTCCAAAATATGCCTTATATTTAATAGGATTAACCACTAAACCAGTTGAGGTAGATAATTTTTGAAATGCCTTCTTCATAAGAGTGATTGGACTTTCATCTCCTCTGATAAACAATATCAAATCATCTGCAAAACAAATATTAGTTATACCAAGTTTTTCACACTTAGGATGGTAATTGAAATTAGGTTCCCCTTGAAGTTTCTTTAAACATCTATGCATATATTTCATTACTAGCACAAAGAGCATTAGTGAAATAGGGTCACTTGCCTTAGGCCTCTCTTGACCTTTAAGGAATCACTATGCTTTTTATTTATAGAATATCTATAAGACCGATTAGTAACACATATCATGGTCAACCTTATGAACTCAGCATGAAAACTCATCTCTTTTATAATTTCTTCTAGTGCTCTCTACTCCACTATATCATACGTTTTTTGCAAGTCTATCTGAATTGTATCTAGGAGAGATGTGTTTTCTAATATCTTTAAACCCCTTTACTGAATGTTTGACTTATTTTCACTTTTAGTCTTCCATCATTTCAAATTTGATTTATTTATTTATCCTTAATTTACTATTTATTAAAAAAAAAATACACAAAATAAATTAATAAAACTCATTTATATATTAAATTATTAAAACTAATTCATCACTTATATATATCTTTCATAAATATACATTAAATATAGAGTAAACAAATGGAATAAATTCTAACGCATTTCATCATATGTTTGGTAAAAAGTTAGAATGGAAAGTTTCGATGGTAAGAGATGTAGAAAAGTAAGATTGAAGTGGACTCCTAGAATGAATTATTGTCAACAACTAGGGTCTTAAACAAATAGCTTAGGTCAATTAGGAGGTGCAAACTTTCTTCAATATGAAAAAGGTAAAAGGTAAGATTGATGTGTAGAATGTTGAAGACAAAGAGGTCAAGTTTGATGTGTACTTGCTTATCCTTCCATCACTATTTTTAAGTACAATTTATACAAACAGAAGAATCATCAACCTATGCAAAAGTAACTGTTTAATAACTTATTACTAATAGTTGTAAAAAAAAAAAAAACTTATTACTAATTATTTTATTAATTTAACTTTTAAACTAAAGTTTTTTATTGAATACAACAATTCTACTGTTTGTATTATTGAACAAAAATATATCACTTCAAAAAAGGTTAAGTTGGACCACACCTTTATTTCTAAGCTAACATAACTAACAATTTTCTTAGTGGTGAAAACTATTATAAGATAAATATTCCTTTTCAAATATAAATAGATTGTTATGGGACCCACCATAACCGAGTTTCTTTATCACTCCCATTTTCTTTAATTAATTAATTAAATATTTTCAATCCATTATCATAAAAAAAAAAAAAAATTGTATAAATTCATCTTATTATTACTTTTCTTCCAGAATCTCTATAAAAAGATAATTAAATTCCTCAGTCAAAACCTCACAATCTTGAATTCAACTACCCATTGTTGTTTTTGTTGTTGTTATCTCTCAAATTCTCAATCAATATAGTTTGTTCGAATTTCATGCAAAATTTCAACAGTTATGAAGAAAAGGTCACATCATCATCAACAGGTACACTTTATTTTATTATGAATTTTAGTTTTTTTTTTTTCTTATCCTATTTTGTGCATTGTTGTTGTGGTTTTTGGGGTTTGTTGATTTTGGGAAAGTGAAGAAAATTGCAGAGAACATGGGCTGAATTGTGTTGTTTGGGTTGCTCCTCCATACAGCTTTTTTGGGCAAGAGTGGTTATGCGTAAATGGCTTAATATTGGTAGCAATCAATCTGATTATAGTGCTGATCCTGAGGATGAAGATGATGCTGATTATGAGGAAGATGATCCTGATAATGATTTACAAAATCGAGGTTACTACTCACTCAAATTGTGAATTTTTTTTTGTTGGGTTATTAGTTTTGTTTTTGTGAATTTTTGTTGATTTTATTAAATTTGGAAAGTTTTTTTTTTAGTAAATTTTTTTAATGTTGTTTCTTGAAATTGTAGTGTTGTATCATTATCAACCTTTATCAATCAATACTCCAAAATTATCTGGGGAGTTGTGAAATGTTAATTATGTTCGTCACTTTGTTCGGATCTGTTATCAAATACATCGTGACATTAGTCACTTAGTTTCAAATTCATGCTGATGTTCAATATGGCTTTTTGCTCATTTTTCCACTAAAAGTATCTCAAGGGAAATATACCATTTCCCCTGAACAAATTGTTTTATCAATAGGGTCGAACTCAAGTGATAGTTTAGAAAGTTTAGAATTGGGGTGTTTATGCATTTGTCAAATGATTTGAGAACTGAGATTGTTTATAGCTCTTTTTTCATTTGGAATTGGTTGTTGTAGTCTCATTTTGAGTTTGGTGTGTTATGCAGTGTGGGGAAGACAGTCGCGGTTTATGGACGGCACAGGTGTTGATGCTCCATCTGAATCAAATGGTGATTTTTTCCATACATTAAGCTCTAATTTATTCTCTGATGTACATGATTTTACACATTTAACTCGAGATGTAAAGTAGGAGTATTGAATTGTAAATAAGTACCGACTCAAATATAAGCCAAATATGGCCGTAGCATGTTGGACTTGCTTATAAGCAATTTTTTGATTAACTTGCATTATGTAATGTCATTAAGCCAAAAATACCCTCTATAGTAAATATCATCAAGGTTAGTTTAGGAAATGTATTTCTTTGTTTCTATTGGCTTCTCTCTATAACATCCTAAATTTCTATTGAATTACAGACTTTGTTCCAAAGTTAAGGAAGCAGAAGTCATCAACTTATAGATCTCAGTATATTAACACAAAGGAGCTGAGGTGAGACACTACTCCCATGTTTATTTAGCAATCGCGAGCTGAAAATTATTGCAATTTTATGAAAGTGTGAAGAGCACGGTTTATATGGTAGTATAGTCAAAGTCTCTCATATCTTGATTATGGTGTTTATGTCACTCGTAGGGTATGTGCGGCAACATGGAATGTTGGAGGAAGACTTCCACCTGATGACCTAGATATTGATGAGTGGCTCGGTGTTAATGAACCGGCTGACATCTATGTCCTCGGGTAAGTTCTTCACCAGTTGTTGTTGAGCATAGTAATCAAAGTGCACAACGATAAGATGATATGCGCTATGAAGTACTGACACACACACACACACACACGCACACGGGTACTTGAAGCCTCTGTAGCACCGACACTTCTTAAAAAGGCGTATTTGTGTCTTTGTCAGACACGGCACCGACATTTGTAATTACGTTCAATTTATTCATGTTTTCAAATTATTATCAGTGTCCATGTGTTAGTGTTGGTGTCGTGTCCGGTGTCTGTGCTTCGTAGCTTGAAATGACACTGACACATAACACATGTATCAGTGTAGGACACCAGACATACCTTCAATGTGAAGGGTTGGGGCTACGTATGTGTCACATCAAATATTCATCCTATTAAGCTGGTTTTTGTAGAACTGTTGATGAACCAAACCATAAATTTATCCGCTTTCAAGATTGCACGGAAACTGATTGATCTCATGCCATTCTATAATAATTTCTATTTCATGCAAATCTAGACTTTTCGATTTGTTTGATTGAATGAATGCCTTACACTTGCAGTCTTCAAGAGCTTGTACCCTTAAACCCCGGCAATATTTTTGGTGCTGAAGATACTCGGCCTGTTCCAAAATGGGAGAATATAATTCGTGAAGCACTTAATAGAGTCAAACCTTCGGTAACGAAGACCAAATGCTTTAGTGACCCACCATCTCCATCAAAATTTCAGCCATCAGATGATGGCCCTGATATAGAAGAAGAAATACTATTTGAAAGTGATAGTGACATCGGCGAGGAAGTCCATCCTTTGGATGAATCACAGAATATTTCTGATGGTAGTACTACGAACGAAATCATGAATACCAGTTTACTGGCTTCCGACAATGCTGATAGTGCCAACTCCAGTGTCCCAATTGTCTTCGATTATAAAAGACAGTATACTTTTCCAAAGAAGTTCGATTGGCCGCAAAGTCCGTCAGAAAACTGGGATGCATCAATTACCCAAAAGACCAAAAAACTAACCAGAATGCTAAGCGGATCTGAAAGGATTGGTTTGAGTTGGCCGGAGCCTCCGCTACATCTAGTATCTCAAAGAGTTTTGGAGAGACCAACTTCTTTTAAATCGTTAAAATCCTATAAGTCGTTAAAATCATTCAAAACATATAATGCTTTCAAGTCAATTATGGATGAAATGCCAGGAATGGGTTTGCTTCCTGAAATTGACCTTGAAGCTTTAATAAAGCGGAAAAGAAGATCTCCATATGTAAGGATTGTTAGCAAGCAAATGGTCGGAGTTTTCATCACTGTATGGGTTCGTCGGAGATTACGGAAACATATTCACAATTTAAAGGTCTCAACCGTAGGTGTTGGCATTATGGGATATATTGGTAACAAAGTATTTTCCCTTCCTTCAAACTATTCCTTTTTCCCTATCTGTTTGGTGCTTAGTTTTCTATATCTTATTATTGCTCGAGCTTATAACAAATTTTTTCAATCTTCCAGGGATCAGTATCCGTCAGCATGTCCATATATCAGACACTTTTTTGTTTTATATGCACGCACCTTACGTCTGGAGAAAAGGAAGGAGACGAACTTAAACGAAATTATGATGTTCATGAAATACTGCGCAGAACACATTTTCATTCACCTTCTTATGTTGGACTTCCAAAAGGAATCCTCGATCATGAGTCAGTGCAAGCTTCAATAACCATAACAAATTGACTTGTATTTGTGTCGTCCTTGAATGTTTTTTCATACAATTTCTTAACCAACTATAATTCATTTGCAGAAGAATAATTTGGTTGGGTGATTTGAATTACCGTCTCAACTTATCAGATGCGGAAACAAAAGCTCTTATCAAGAAAAAACAGTGGTCGAAATTGGCTGAAAAAGATCAGGTACTACAGAAATTAATGTTTACTTCTCAATAACATTCATCTAGAGCACAATTTTGTGGGAGTTGCTAGTTCATCAAGCTGATTAGTAAATTGAAATCTTACTGTGACAGCTCATGCGAGAAATCAAGAGCGGCGCATTTGGAGGATGGTCAGAAGGGGTGTTAAATTTTCCACCTACTTATAAATACGAGGTTAATTCAGACAAGTACTACGGAAACGATCCAAAGGCTCCAAAACGTACACCAGCATGGTATGAGACTATCCTTAAATCTAACTACTAGATGTAAGTGTTAGAGGTGTTGATGAATTTTCATTTCAGGTGTGATCGTGTTCTTTCATACGGAAAAGGAATGAAATTACTGAGTTACAGAAGGACTGAGCTTAAGTTATCAGATCACAGACCCGTGACTGCGACATATATAGTTGAAGTTGAGTCGTTCTCACCTAGGAAGCTACAGCGAGCCCTAACATTCACGAATGCAGAGATTGAAAATGAAGAAGCCATTAAACATTTAGTTAGTTGGAAATAGCTGCTTAATTTGAACAGGTGAGTTATTGTTATTCCATATATCATCATCACACAACACTAGCATGTCTTGCATGTATTTCTGCATTCGAGTTGCGTATTTTTCTCTTCAACATATTAATCCCTACAATCATGACTTGGTTAAGTATTCACTAATAAAAAGAAGTGCTTTTTTATGCAGGGAGTTGTAAAGGACATTGATTATTTCCCGAATTTCAATTTCAAGGAGCATCAGTCATAGCTGCTGCAACTTCTAACACAGATTGTCAACCACTAAATATAGATTTTTCTTTTGGTTTCCTACTTTCAACATTTAAGGAGGAAATAGTTTCATTTTTGTCTTTCAGAATCTTTCCAATAGGATTTAGATTTAGATGTTTGAATGGCTGTATCCTATATATGTAATTGTGTGATTGGGGTGTGTATTATATATGTAAGAAATTTAAAATAAGAGTTCTACATATTTATATAAATAAAGACTTATTTTCATGTAACTATCTTGTTAAGATTAAGATCTTGCTTAAAATTGGAGAGGGTGTGACAGGGTTGTAAAATGTTAAATCATAAGACCCTACCAAAACAATTACTCAGAATTTGAATTGAGTTAAAAGATCATAAACCTAAGACTGTAACATGAAATAAACATGACATAAAAACTTATAAATGACTACATTCAACAAAATTGAAAATATACAACTAATACAAGCCAATCAAATCTACAAAAGGAAATATTTAAAGTTCCTAAGAGTACAAATACGATTTGGATAATAATGAATAGACTCATGAAGTGATTGTGAAGTTGCATGAGATTCTATATAGGATTGTATCAAATAGAGATCTTAAATTCACCCTCAAGTTATTGAAAGTTTGTAGAAAGTCTCAGATTCTCAGCTTAGATGAGTTCTTACTATCTGCCGACAAATGATTTGATTGAGAGGTATAACTTTTTTGTATTGGTAGGAGAGTTGGAACAGTTTTCTGTTAGGACCAACCAAAGGTGGTTCAACATATACTAAAGACAGTTAAAAAATTCAAGAAAGCTTAAGAGCATTTTAAAGTAGGAAGAAAAACTATCATGATAAAAGAAGAAAAGACTTCCAATTTTAAGAGGGTGGTATGAGTTTTTGAGAGTTATTTTGACGGTTGAAGTTAGCTGGACTTTGAAAATATGGAAGCTAACTTCCTATTTAATGGACCTTTTCAAATTTTGAAACATACTGGTAATATTATTTTTAGTGTTATCTCTGATATTTTTCAAATTTTCATTTAACTTCTCAGGTATGTTAACAATCTCACATGTTATTGAATGTTGGAATTACATTGAAAATTTGGAAATATTCGAAACAATCTTGATGAACAAGATTAATATTTTTTTTATTGATTTCTCTTCTTGTTCTTCACTCTTCACTCCAGTGAGTTAATCATTCCTTGATTGTAAAATAATTCTGCTACACAACGATTATGAAAAGAAAAAAAATATTTGGGAAAGAAAAGAGAAATTAGGATTTAGGAGAAAAGGGGGAGAAGAAGAATATTTTTATGCAGAGTTTCTTTGTGCTCTCAACTGAGATTTTATTCAATCTTTTCTCTATGCAACTGCATTATAACAATAATATGGTACCTCCCTATCTATGCATGCTAAGTTACTCCTAAAGAAGACTTTGATATTTGATCTTCATTATGGTACAAGACTCCAATTCAATATAGTATGTTACTGTAGTGCTCAAAATATGTCTAATATTATGCATACATGTTTTGTGGCTTTTAATATAACTAGATTGCATTTCCAAATCATTAAAAAAGGTTATTTTACTTTTTCATACAGTGGTAATCGGTTACAGACTTCAGCAATTCAAATTTCTTAATGTTACCTGCATGGGTAACCGGTTACAGCCTTACGGTAACAGGTTACCGCTGATACAAATTTGAAAAACAAGGTTGTTTTGAATGTTGTTTGTTTATTGCACTTGTCCATGAACCATTGCACTTTTATATTCATTTATAACCTTTTGAAAGGGTGCAAAACTTGTATATAAATCAAATATTTCTGAAGTAGAAACACACACCAAATAACATCAATCACAACATACAATTCAACATTTTGTTTCTCATTTTCAAACAAGTGCATTAATTAATATTTTGATCTTGCATGAAACTTTTACTCTTACATTTTCAAATACATCATTAGAAAAGTTTTATCATATGCATTGAGCACTTGTGTAATATATTCATTGAATTGTTGTCTTGAAAGAGAAGAGATCAATACTTTGTATTGACATTGATTATCAACTTTCATATCTACTTCAAGAATTTGTTTCTAATTATTTTTTCAAAGTGGTTGTGGTGTAACCTTGTTGTCCAAGATTGTTAGAAGTAAGAGAGTATTAAGGGAGGATTGTTCTCTTTCTACTTTGTATTGGGTACCTTGTTTTCAGGATTGTTGAAATAAGTGTGTACATTGAAGAGGATTGTTCTTCATGTACTTGGTTGGATCTTAAAGGATAGTTAAAGCCTTTGATCTTCCTATAGGTTAGATAGTAAGCATCACATTTGGATGTGGATAGGTTGTACGATAATTCTAACTATAGTGAAATCTCTTACATGTTGGTAAGGGGACTGGATGTACGCTCGAAGTGTGAGGGAAACCAGTATAAATCTCTTGTGTTATTTATTTTATGTATTTATCGCTTTCATATTCATACAAAAACAAGAAAATAAGAACATTATCAAATAAAAGAATAAAAATATACAATCCACTTTATTCAACATTGTCTTAGGCACACTAAAAAACCAATAATATGAGCCTCCAAGATTAACCTTACACCTGAGTCGAGAACTATCATAATCTTATCTTCAATCTACATTATGTAATTCTTTTCGACTAAATGGCCTATACTGAGCAAATTAATTTTCATGCCCGATATATACAATATGTTGGAAATTACTGGCCTTTTTCCATCTTTCCTCATAATCATAATACCACCAATACCTTAAGCTTCTAGAGTATTTTCATTTACAAATTTCACCATGTTCTTCATCGAGGGTTTTATGTTGACAAGCCAATATTTCTTACTAGTCATGTGTGATGAGCATCCTGAATCCAAGTATCACTGGTCCTTGAACTTTTCTTCATCTCTCATTGTGACCATCGACATCATTTCTTATTCTTCTTCATGTTTTGCAAGCCTTGCATCATTTTCTTGATTCTTTTGTTTTCCAAGACAATCACTTGAATAATGACCACACTTCTAACAATTGAAACATTGAATGTAAATTTTGTCAGGTTTTATCCACCACCTCTTCCTCTACCTGTAACACCACCTTTATGGTTTCTTTGGTATAAGAGTCTTCTTTCATTCAACGAATTTCTTTCTTGCTGGTTTCCTATACCAGTCAAATTTGTATAGCCTCATATACTTTTACTATTGAACCATTTTCCTTTGCATTTATTTTCTCTTATTGATTTCGCATGCAAAGCCACATCATTCTTCGACTTGCTTGCAGCTCTTTCAACAATTTTTTGTTCATGAGATTCAAGCGTCCCTTGAAGTTCTTCATTTGTCAATGTTGAAAACTTTTTCAATTCTTCTATGGATACTACCACGTGATTGAATTTCGGAGCCAGTGAACTAAAGATCTTTGCGACAAGTGATCTTGATGTCAACACTTCTCCATATACCTTGATTTGATTCACTAGTTTTGTAACCCTGGTGGAGAAATCAATTATGTTTTCACTTTCTTCCATTTGAAGTGATCGGGACTTTATGAGTCTATTGGGATACTAACTGTAAGTATACAGTTTAGTCGTTCTAGTTTTAAATGATTATCGAACCCACAGAGACTGAGGATCAATCACATACGATCTAATGTTACAAATGTTTAACTAAGCGATGAATAGTTGGTTTTAGGGGAAAAAGGTTTTAATTAAAAGCAATAGTAATAGTTATACCGATATGTGATAGTCGGACTTCGGGAACTCGGTGAATCACTTGGCATATAAAGTATTTCAGTAAAAACAAATTGTTTAAAAACCTGAGACATACACTCTCGTGTTCATGAAATAAGTTATGCTACTAAACTTAGTGGATGCACTTTAAATTTAATAACACTTTTTGAAAACAACTCGAGTTTAATTAATTTGTTAAAACACTCTCGTGTATTTAAAAATTAATGTTTCGTTACCACTATCTGGGTCGAACCTCAGCTCTCGCATGCAGGTTCTTGCCTTAATTAATTTCCCACTCTCGTGGCAAAATCGTGTTAAATATTCTTTCACTCTCGTGACAAGGGTAGTTAAATTAAATATGGAAATTGGAAACCATAAATTATTTATAAAAGATTTTAGTCGAGTTATCACCGAATTCCTTCGGTGCTTAAAAGTCACATACAAGTACAAACAAAATTAGCCAGACATAATGTATTTAGCAAACATGCAACGTAAAATACAGTTCATGAAAATAATCAACATAGCATATAAACAACAAAGATCGAATTGTATAAAAAACCTGTAATTTATATTGCCGTGGTAATCTTGAATTTTACAGTAGCTTTTGCGATATAATTAATTGAAATACAGAACTAAGTGTGTGTTAATCCTTCGATGTGAAGAATTAACACTTTAGGGAACTGGAAAATTACAGAGGCTTGAAAGGAAAATGATGGTTCAAAAGAAAGAAAACAAAGTAAAGCAATGCAGAAAGAAATTATGATTCTGAAACAAATTCCCCGACCCCCTTTCAAAGTAAAGTCTTCAACATATATATAGGCTCTCTCTTGTAACTGTCATGTTCCATTATTTCAGTATGTGCGCTAAATTCTGAACTGATGGAATGAGGTCGTGTGGACTTCGTGTGGGCTGCTTCGTGGCTGACTCCATAAACTGAGTTTTTAAGTGTTACGTTCATAATGGAATTCATTACGTTCGTAACAGCTAGGCCCTTTGTTACGTTCCTAACGCGTTACGTTATATTCGTAACAGTGTGCGCTAGGCGTTACGTTCGTAAC